ATCAGAGAATGGTGGAGAGTTGGGAGGGACCTGAGAAGTGGAAGCCTGGGAGGGGAGTGGAGCGCGGTGTCGCCGAGGAGAGGGAGCTGCTTTGGGAATCTGACACTGCAAAGGCTGGAAGCAAGCACTGGGGTAGTACCTGAGTGGATTGTGCCGGTCGCAGCAAATAATATAGGCCAAATTCCTAGAAAGTGCAGGGATTGGAGCGCTTCCCTACGCCGTACTGAGGGAGGCAAAGTTTACTAGCCGAGCAGAGGGGCTTGGGTCCTTGGTTTACAGACTCGTCGCGCCCCCGCCGCTCGGCTCCAACCCATCCCCTCCCCTCGACTTCCTTTCCTTTTCCCTTTTCAAGGCGACGACACTTTGCCACCAGGCTGGCTCCCCGGCCCTCATTCATCATCCTCTCTACTGGAGGGTCTTTGGCAGAAGTACATCTGGAAGAGACCGGGGAAGACAGTCGGCCTTCCCTTTCCCTAATGGGGGCGGGGAGGCTGGACAGAGATCAGTGAAGACTTCCAGCTGCGAGCTGGGCTGGGGGAGGGGGTTGCCCCGGGGATAAGGCCCACCCCCAAGCCTGTGCACAGGCCTGGGAAAAAGTTTAGCCCGACAGAAAATTGATGCAAGCGAGCAAGCGCGCTCACGCGCGCCCTTGTCTAGGAAACCAAGGAAAGGAAAGCCCGTAGGAGGGAAAACACGAAAAAAACTTTAGAACTGGGGTGCGGCAAATTCCAGATTCAGGTTCTGGTCTGGGTCTTGGTTTTAGCTTCAAGGTGGTGAAAATAGCTCGGGCTTTGCTGTTAGAGAAATTATTAAAATCTGGAATCTGCTTCTTCCTAGTCTTGTGTCTGGAAACGAGTGTTTGGCCTCTCCAAACTCGATATTTCCTCATCCTTGGTACCCATTCCATGAGGTTCTTAACGCAGATTTAAATGGGATAAAGACTAAAGCACAAAATTAAGTGGTCAGTGAATGGTTAACAGGAGCTACCTGGGGTAATCACTTCATCCCTGGGAGAAACATCGGTTGTATTTGAGGGATTGGGAAAGAGTGATGATGCCTGCCTTAAAAGTTTTTGTGAAGATTAAATAAAGCAGCTGGTTGCAGCCCATCAGTGACAGTGATAGTCAAATCAATTAGTGTACTGCAACCAGCATTTAAAATAATAAATGGGTAATAAATAATGGGTATCACAAAAATTCTTAATGGGTATCACAAAATGCAAGGAAAGATACTGTTAAAATTTCTGTGTGCAAAATTTTCAGGTTGAACTATATAAAATTGCCGTTTTATAGGTCAAGAGGGTGGAATATTGTCCATTTCATATGATCCAATGTGTGTGCTACTAGATGAACATATCAACTGCATTTCTTACTGAGTCACAATCCAAAGGCTTTGAGAAATACTAAAGTGTGTTCAAGTGATTTGTAAGATACAGCGTGTGTGTGTGTGTGTGTGTGTGTGTGTGTGTGTGACACACACATAAAGCTATATACACACATGTATAAAAACATGGGCTTGTTCATCAAACTCTTAAATACAGGAATTAAGAGACCTCTTCCCCATTTCCCAATAGTTTCAAAGCTTTTCTTCTTTTCCTAATTCACTCTATACAGCAGGTAGTTGAACATATGGAACGTATTAGTTCAAGAGGAAGAACAGGTCGAATAGATAAATAGGTTCCACAAGGGCTTTAGGGGCCACAAATGGTGCTTAGGACTGTGATTTGTCTGAGCAGCATGGTCCTACCACAGCAGCCTGGGGGTTTCATTCCCACTTGGCTTCTAAAGACTTTTCTATTTAAGATCCCTAATTTAGACACATGCAGGGTTGACAACTCTCAGCAGTGGCACTGCTCAGGAAAATTGCTGTGTGCCACATCCACAAGGTAGGGTACCCAGGATGAGCACAATTTTCAGCTTCCCTTCAAATAGGCTGCCCTCTCTGATTTCACCCAGTCCCTGGGCCATTGCATACCAGCATTAGTACCACAGCTCCTTGGCCTGCTTGGGAAGGCTTCATCGTCACAGGCCTTTGTCACCACAGGGCAATGGGAGACTTACATCCACACTATATTGGATTACTGCTGGTTCAGGAGCCAACATCATTGATGTGGATAAAGTAAAAACAAAAAACAGGCTCATAGATGTGTTTTGTTTGGACCATATAATATTTTTATATCAGATTTACCTAAAAACCTGAATTCAGATTCTCTCAAAAAATTGGAATTTTTATCACCTCCAGGTCTGTGCACCCATAAGAGCACTATAGCCTGGAACGGAGTTGAGTGATAGCCACAGAGCAGGTATGTGCTCTCAAGTTCACTGCAGACTCCATACAGCCCACTGAGCTCAGGTAAGTCCCCTGCCTGGCCAGGTAAGTCCCCTGCCTGGCCTCTCTGGAATGTGAGTTTGGTGCTTCTCTGATAAGACCTAAATCACCATAGCCCCTGGAATATGGGAGCTCATGTCCACCCCAGACTATGAAGGACCTCCAGAAGGACATAAGGACATCAGAATTCCAGATGCCCTCATACCACACCATTCCCACCCAACCTTTCTTTCTCCTGGTTTTTATCACCCAAATATTAAGCAGAACAAAGCTTAAGGATTATTTCTAAAAATTACTATCACCGAAAAATAAATAAAAATTACTAACACTCTAAAACTGTTTTCATTTGGAATTAACCTTTACACAGGGATTCTTAACTTCATGTAGTAGAAAAGAGGTCTCAGTTGTGATGGCAGCATTAGAAGGAATGAAAAGGAAGAGGTCTTGACTCTGTGTATCCAGGAAAAGTCTGGAAACCCTTGTTTCAAACACTAATAGTGCTAACCACTGGATGGTAAGGTTGGGGACTAGAAGAGTATATTCTTGCTTTATGAGTCTGTACCCTTTGACTTCTTCCATGATCGGTATTTTATATACATTTTTTTTCTCTTAAAATTAAGCAAAAATGGAAATAGGGCAGAGAGAACAAATGGATCTTCGTGACAGGCTGCACAGGGAGGCAGTTAACACAGAGAAGAGGGCTCATGATGGACTGAGATTTTGAGTAAGGATGACTATTCTCCAAACAGTGGTACCATTCATGAAAAGAGAGAATGTGGCTGGAGGGAACAAGTTTGGGAGACATAAGTTCAGTTTGGGCCCAGGGAAACAACTGAGGGAAACGTCCTGTATATAGAAAAGGGGGAGCATGTGTCTGGAGCTTAAGGTAAGGGCTGGAACTGGAGCTAATACCTTGGGAACTGTCCACACTGAAGAAGAAATTAAAGCCATGGGAGGTGAGGTGAGATGAGATTCCTGAGGGTGAGAATTTAGAGAGAAAGCCCAAGAACAGAATCCAGAAGAAAAGCCATCTCAGGGGCAGGCAGAAGAAGGAAGCCTCAGCCAGGGCTGGAGAAGGCCCAGTCAGAGAAGATGGAGATGGTGTACCATCATAACGTCAAGGGAGGGGAGGCAGATGTGGCCAGCAATGGTAGCTGCAGCAGAGTGGTCAAGGAACACCAGGAGGGAGAAGAGGATTAGTGACTATTGACTCTGCCTTCTCAATATTTCTGAGTACAACCCACAGTAAGAAATCATTATACATTGTAACCTGTACTGAATTAATTATTGCTCCCAATTCTTCACACCTTGTGTTGGAATTAAGACTTCTACACCCTTTGCCATATGACTTTCCAGTAGCCTCCTACTGGTGTTGATGTTGGGTTTCAACATGTGACTTGTATTGGCCAATAAAGTGTTAACAGACTTGTGGTTGTAAATGTGCCTGCATGATCTCTTGTGCTCCTGCCTCTGCAGGAGAGCATGCTCCAGGCCAGCAGAGGAGCCCCAAACCAGACCCACAGTCTGAAGCCAAGCCCAGATGAATTCAAATAGGTCCAGCCAGGATCAGCCAAACTTCATCAACCTGCAGATCCATGAGTAAGAAAAACATTGTGACTGAAATTTGAGGGTTATTATGCAGCATCACCACCCCAATAGCTGACTAACATAACCCAATATACACAAACATGTATTAAATATTACAAACAAAATTTTGTAAAAAAATACCCTTACACAATGTACTCTATAGTTTCTATTATGTTTTTTTTAATGTTGATTGCAACCCACAGTTTGAAAAAAACTGCTTTAGAGGAACTGTTCTTGGGGTTTTTTCACCCCAAATTGAGGGATGTTATACACTAAATCAACAAGTGGCTTACCTACTAGCTATGTGACCTTGGGGAAACTTCCTGACCTCCCTGAGCCTCGGTTTCCTAATCTGTGAAATGGAAACAATAACATCTGGCTAAGAGTGGTCACAGAGATTCAGTGAGATAATGCATACTAAGTGCTTAGCAAAGTGACTGGTACAAAACAAATATACAATAAATACTAGCTGTTTTTTTCATTGCTAAGAAGTTTGGTGAGGAATAGAAGGAACTAGAACAATTTAAGAGTTAAGGGCTCATTTCTTTAGGATGGGGAAATAGGCTGAAGTTACTGGAATTGGCAGAATATAACTGATGATACAAGGTCTAGGAAATGAAAGGGACAGGAATCAAACCAGTTGAGGGCCCTGGAGCAGTGAGACATTAAGCACCATCTCTTTGCTCAGTTCTACCTACTCCATTCCCTCCTAGAGTCGTAAAGGAATTCAGAGACCAGAATTTGTCATTAACTCCTCCAGTGCTTCTCTGACTTACCCCCCCAAACACTTCTACTCCCCCAGCCTAAGCATGAGGACTAGGCCAGCCAGCAGAGAATAAAGTAGTTGGCATTCAAAGAGCAACACAGGGTCACACAGAAAAAAGATGGCCTTGCCTCCTTGGAGACCACATTCTCAACTGTTTGCGTACCAGAAAGACTGGTGTTGGCTGGTTATTCTCACTCAAGCCCCACCAGACTTCATGAGGCATGTGGCCCCTTCCAGTAAGTGAGGGACATCATCACTCACGGGCAACAGCAGGGAATGCGCATCAAAAGCAGGTTGTAAAAAAGGCTTCTTTATTGAGAGCAGCGAATGTAAAAAACAAAACAAAACAAAAAAACCAAACAACAACAATAAAGGTGTAGGGATGGATGGCCCACCTTCCCCATCTCCAGGGCCCACCCCTCCCTCTCATCCCCACCCACCCCACGCTGCAAATACATACAAAAGCCGCCCGTGGTGCATACAAAAAGGGCGGGTTATATAGTGTCAAAAGCTCCTGAAAACTCCTTCATCTGCCAGGCACTTAGGATGAGGAAAGGAGGGAAGGGTGAAGAGGAGGCATGGGTATGGGTCAGTGTGCACAGTCCACGGGGGCGGGGAGGACTCACTGGCTGTGTCCTCCGTGATCCTGGTGTGGACCGTGGTGTGGGCCTCCTGGGCCAGAACTACCCGGGAGCTTGAGTATAGTAAGGAACTCCTTGCAATCCCAGCTCATCTCTAGCCTAGCCCTCCCTGGGCAAAGCTGGCAGGTGAGTGGTAGAACTGGACCTGGTCAAGGGGAAGAGACCCAGGCCAGAAATTGGGGTTACCTGAGGCACCCACACTGTCCCTGATGGGAGAAGGGGTGGCAGAGAAAGCTGCCCAGCTCAAGGCCCTAGTCACCCAGACTGGGTCTGAAATCGGCCTCCACAAGGGCTGAGGTTGGAGGAGTAGGAAAGCCCAGACCCTGCCCAGGCCTCAGCAGTGCCTGTGGTGCCAGGGCGGGGCCTCCAGGGCCAGGAAGAACCGGGAGCTTGCCCATCATGCTGTGGGTACCCTTCAAGAGGTCTTCCCCTGCCCACGCCATCCTGAGGCACAGCCTGCCCGGGCTCCCTCCTCATGGCTTGCTGTCTGCAGGGCTATCTCCCAGGGTGTTGGCAATCTCACTGAAGGAGGGCCGGTCCTTGGGGCTGAGGGCCCAGCAGTGCTGCATCAGCCGGTAGAACTTAGAAGGGCAGCCCTCTGGCTGCGGGAGTCTAGCCTTCCCAGCCTGCAAATCTGCAGAGATGATGGGGGCATTGTCAGTCGAAACATTTAACCACCTGTCCAATACTCTACAGAGGCTGCAGTTCCCACAAGCAGCCACATGAGGGTGACTCGAGGTCAGGGGCACTGGCCCAGTGGTGGGTGGACACTAATGGAGTATACTGGAAGTATCTTGCAACCAAAGGGGATGACTCCCGTAGCCCCAGCTCTCTCTGGCTGGTTGGGGCAGCATCCATGTAGTGTGGGAGGCAGGGGGCCAAAGAGGGGTCAGTGGGCAGGCCTCAGAGTAGCTCCAGTGGGCACTGTGGGTAAGGGCCATTTGCCAATCAGTATGAAAACATTTCAGCAACTAGAGTGGCTGTATCTGTGTACTTGCTAATACCAGCCCTTCGAGGTGAGGCAGGCTGAGCCAGCCCCAGGACCCTGAGCAAACCTCCACCTGGAGACATCTGGAATCATCCTTTGGAAACACAGTTGCCTACCTGCCAGAACTTCATCATCAGCCTGCCCACCATGGGGCATCTCTCCATGGGTGAACACTTCCCACATGAGCACACCAAAGGCCCAGACATCGGACTTGGTGGAGAAGTCACCCTCCAGGATGGCCTCGGGAGACATCCAGCGCAGCGGCACCCAGGCCTGGCGGAAGTGGTAGTACTCACTGCAGGAGAGAACCACACACATGGATGGGAGTGGGTGCTCTGTGGCTCACAGGATGCGGTGGGTAAGGGACATGGGCAGGGATCCCAACCTCACCCCAGGTCTGGGCCTCATACCCGAGCTAGGACCTAGCTCCTTCTACATGATGGCACTCAGAGAAATCAGTAACATATATACTGAGCACAGAGGTATATGGGATGAGAGCTGGAGGCATCCACATGGAATTTAATGGTTAAAAGTCCCATTAACAATCAAATCTTGCCTAAATGTTAATACTTTAAAAAGCTAATAATCATATATACTTTCTGTGTTGGTTTTTAAAAATGTGAAAAGTGAGAACACATTAAATGGAAAGAATGTTTAAAGAGCTTTACATGATAAACCAATCAAGACTAAAGCAACAGGCAGACAAACTGGGGTGACTCAGAAGTCAAAGGGAAGTCCCCAGAGGCGCCATGTAGTGTGTGTAGGCACTCCAGAGCAATCTCTGGCTGTGGGTGCTGAGATTTTAAGTCTTAGGCCTCAAAATAACTACTACTGAATTCAGAAAGTAACGGAACCACACAAATAATTAAATGATATATATAAACTGTTATAAAGACTGACTAGTTATTTTTTAAAAAGTTTTCTAATTTTTTAGCACTAGAGAATTTATAAGCATCAGGGACCTATTTGCCCACTGCCTGGGAAGCCTGCTACACCTTTGGAGAGAGGATGGATGGGAAGCCCCACCCCACACACCCCTAAAGTACATCTGCCCTCTGCCCCTCGCCCCACCCCACCTGTGCCCTTCTACCTGTTGTATACATCCTTGCTGAGCCCGAGGGCCGACACCTTCACCTGTCTCTGCGCGCTGACCAGGCAGTTGCGAGTGGCCAGGTCCTTGTGCACAAAGCGGTTGTTGGACAGATGCTCCATGCCCAGGGCCACCTGAGTGCACAGGGCCACCTGGAGCGAGAAACGGGCCTTTCAGGGTAGCCCAGGACTAGGGAATCAAGGTGAGAACCTCTGGTGGGGTCTCAATGCCATCAGTGTGATGCTTGGGAAGCCCAAAAGCAAAGGCACAACAGCCTCAGTTTCCTTCTCTGTAAAATGGCAATAACAGTGCCTGCCTCACTGGTTGTTAGAAGAACTGAATTAAATGAAATTAAGCTCTTGGATCCACTTCAACACAGAGGAGGTGCTAGATTAAGTGAGTGGCACATGGGGCAGGGAGAACACATAGTAACTACTAGTTGAGTGAAAAATAACTGGGTAGTATTCATAGCTTACATCTTCATGAATTGTTTCTTATTTTTTAACTTCAAAATTACATATTTTCTACTAGTTGTGTTTTAAAAACAAAAACAAAAAGCAAAACAAAATACATATACATATAAAAAAAATAACATGTGTGTGGTATGTGTGAGAGAAATAGAGAGAGAGAATGGATGTACAGACACACACATGACTAGTTGCCTCCAAGCAGGGGAGCTAGGGGCTAGAGCATAGAAAGGTAGGGACTTGTGACTTGCATTTTTTTAAATTGTGAACTACATATAGGAAAGTCCATAAAATACATGTATACTTTCACAGATAATTACCAAGCTCATACCCAGGTAATGGTCACTAAGTTAAAAAAAAAAAAAAAACCCAATATTGCTAGTACCCCAGCTTCCCCCAAAGGGTTCCTTCCCAATCATACATTATCCCTACCTCGAGGTAACCTGACTTATAATGATAGTAATTTCTCAGTTCTTTAAGTTCTTTGTAGTTTTAGCACTTACATATACATTGCTAAACAAAATAATTCACTTTTGCTGTTTTGGAACAGAAAAGGCTGGAAGCACACAAAATGTATACTCTTGTTCCTTGATTCTTTCACTCAACATTGTAAGATTCATGCTCTTTTTTTTGGGGGGTGGGTGATGTATCATTGTACTAAGTTCTTTTTCATCATGAATACACCATAATTTATTCATTCTAATACCAACAGAAATTTGTTTTTTTTAATAGTTTTTGGCTACTAAGAATAGTGCTGCTATGACCATTCTTATGGATGTACACATACATGTATGAGTTTAGGATACCAGGCGTGGGTCATGGACTATGAGTATCTCTAGCTCTGCAAAATAATGCCAAACTATTTTCTAAAGTATAAGAGAGTTGGGGGTATTTTTCACCGATACCCTTTTCAAATTTTTCAGGCCTGTAAATATATTATATATATCATATACATTATATGTAGGTATATATTACATAAAATACATTACATAACATTATTGAATGTAACTATTTAACTATATTATCATTTTTAAAGTATACATCAATGCACTGAAGAAACCGTAATTGAGCATCTACTGTATACCATACAAAGCCTGGTTGGTGCCAATGGACTATAACAGGGATGGCAAGACAAGACTACTGCTGAGAGGGCAGTTTAGAAGGGAGAAAAGACTCATATGCACAAAAAGGCTGCAGCTGCCAACAAGCAAAATCAGAGCACTAGGAGAGTGCTTGTAAAGACCCCTGGCCCTTTCTCCTTATCTAAACCACTGAGGATGCATGGGACCTGTAGCATCTCCTTGTATAGAAAAACCAGGCAAACAGAAGGCAGAAGAGTCCCTGTGGAAGATCACTTAACAAGTTACTGGCCAACTGTGTGTTTCTTCTGACAGACAGATTCTGAAGGTCCCCAAGGGAGAAGTCACCCACCATCTACCGCCATCACGGACAGGTGAAGGTAAGAATGTGGCCAATAACCAGTATCATCAGTGGCCAAGGAAATACAAATCAAGGCTTGACAAGGTAGCATTTTACACAGATCTGACTGCAAAAGGTCAAAAGTCTGCCTCCAATTTCTCTCAAATGGTTCAGGAAAAAAAAATGCATTAAAAAAATCATATATGCACACAGAATGATAAATGGGGTAAATGGGGCAAAATGTAAAGAACCAAATCTAGATAAAAGGTTTATAAGAGTTCCCTGAGCTAGTCTTACATTCCTTTAGGTTTGAAATACCAAAATAAAACTGACCACATACACACACATATACAAATGGCCACTAAGCACATTAAAAAACAACAACTAAGTAAAAGCATCCCGTGTATTAACCAATAATGAAGATTATGTCATAGACTAATCAAAGATTATGGTTAATCTGACTCTATGTCCCTGAAGTTCAAAAAGTGGATGAGAGTGGAAGAAAGGCTGCTGCCAAGCCACCTAGTGCAAGGAGACCACCCAATCAGAGAGAAAGGGATGGGCACACTTGTTGAGCACCCATCATGTACCAGGGTCCTGAGCACCCACTATGTGCTGGGCCCTGAGCTCTCCTACTTGTACTCTGTGAGCTGGGGCTCATCCTCAGCTTTGCCCACACCCCCATGCAAGGCTTTACACCCAGCCTAATGTGGCCTGCTCTTCCCCCAACACCACAGCTGCCTCTCCTGGGTCACAGTGCTAGTGATGGGGGGCAAAGAAAGGGGTGTCTGCCAATCAGCGAGCCCGAGGTGAAGTGCTGGCTGCAGACTAACCCTTCAGCACCCCTGGCTGGCTCCAAGCAGCTTCACCAACCTGGCTCCCAGGATCATAAGGAGTTGAGTCTGAACCCGGAGAGAGGGAGTTACTCCGAAGACAGAGCTCAACCTGTGCGCACCAGTAACTGACATCCCTGCAGGCCCCACTGCCTCCACTGGTGGTTTGCTAACTACAGTCACAACCTGTTAGTGTGTCATGAAACCAATGTAGTGAATCATTACCAGCATTTTTAAAACATGGAATAGAAAATGTCAGACTGCATCACACTTAGTAAGGGTATCATCTTTGAAACTTTTTCCATTTTTTAAATATATATACATGCATGTGTTGAGCTGTGATGCAAAATATGCTTTTTGCTATTGTGGGTCTCAGTCAAAAAAATTTTTTAAAAACAAGGGGCTAAACCTGTGCTGTCCAAACAATAGTCCACAGCCCCATGTGGCTTTTGAAAGTTAACTAAAATATAAAGTTAAGTCACACCAGCCATATTCTAAGTGCTCAGGAGCCACGTGGGGCTAGTGTCTATCACATTGGACAGGGGTACCTATGAAACATTTCCATCATTGCAGGAAGCCCTATTAGATAGCACTGAGCCAGTCCATAACCAAACTGGGCCCATCTACATATCCAATGTATTGCCTGGCACTGCACATGCAGAGGTGCTAAACACAGGACACCATCAAGAAGTGGGGAAAATATCATCTTCTTGGTGCATTCTTTATTAAAAATTAAGACACAAAAATTTCTGGATAGCTTCCAACAAAATGTGTGTAACCAGTGAGGAGGGTTAAAGAAGAGGTCAGGTGAACAGGTCTGCCAGAGTTCCCGGGTGAAGAACCCTCCACTGGGTCTCCAAGGAAAAGCAGAGGCCACACTCCCCAAATAGTTTCCAGACTGCCATCCTCAGAATGTCCAAAGTGCCACTGGTGGTAAAAGGGCCACATGGCCACTCAAGTAGTCATTGTAAATGGAGACTACTTCAGGCTTCAAAACCCCAGGGCACTGCCCAGCCTTGCCTCGTTATCTGCATCCCTGGTTGGCTTTTATAATGACTTGCCATTCCCCTCGGCCTGTTCTCTCTGATCTGGCTCACAAGCCAAAAAAATCCACTGCTAGTCAAGGGAAACAGAAGACAGACTTGGCAATGTGACTAATTTGCTTTCTTCCAGAAAGGCAGTGCTTCTGGAAATACTGGCTAAGTGAGGACAGTACGAGGGAATTCTGTTAGACCCAAGCCAATTAAGTGTTTCCTTACTGCTGGGCGAGATGCCATCAGATGGCCACTGGATTAATTTTCAAATACTGTTACGAGATCTGCTCTTTGGTAAACAGACCCACCCCTTCCTTTCTGAATTTAACAGTCTCAGGGCTAGCCCAAGATTGGGACACTACCGTGCTCTTCTGACAAACCTGCTCTGTTTCTCACCACAGAGAATCTGACTGTGGAAAGCGCTGTGCACCAGACGTGCCAAGCTGACCCTGTTCCTCGTCCTGTCGGTAGCTTGCAGATGATCCATGCAGAAATCACAGGTTATAGCTCTCTGACTTCAAAATGTCCATCATCTTATCAGCTATTCAAACATTACCTACAATGATGCCAACACCTAGAGCCCATGTGTGATGTCTAATTTCTATCACTATCCACTATTATCCCGAAACCCTCCTGGGGCTCCCCCTGGCCCACCCACGCTGGGTAGGCAGCTTCATTCCAGTTCTAGAGGACCAGGGAGCACCCTGCCTACCACTCCACCTCCCTTTAAAAACTTAACTCTTCCTCCTTCCATTCCCCCAATACCCTAAAGACATAAAGTGACACAGTAGCTCACCAACTTATAAGAAAGGATCTACACTTTTATTAAATCATTCCTAATAACTTTCATTTTCATAGAATCCTCAAAAAGCAGCATTTTTTGAACTATTGGCCAAGACCCGCTTGGGTCTCAAAACCAACTTAATGGGTTGGATGAGGGTGGGGACAGGGCAGGCGGGGGAAGAATAGGATAGCAAATATTAAGTGTATCAAATACAGTGTTGTATAAGTTTAATTTTGGGTGTGTGAGTGTGTGCTGGGTAACAATATAAAATGCATTTCTTATGGGGGATCATAATCAAAAAGTAATTGAAAGCCACTACCTTACCCCAAGGCTTCTTGAGCTTTAATGAGCTTTACCATCAGCTGGAGAGCTTGTTTGAAAAATGCAGGTCTTCAGACTCCACTCTCAGATATTCTGATGCCCTTGGTCTAAGGTTATCATCCTGAAATTTCCTTTTTTTTAAAACAATCCCTCTGCCCCCACCCCTGCCACCCTCTGATGCAGAATATTATCTTTAGAGAATGTGGAACTCAACTTATTGAAGTTCCCCTAGCAAATTTAAGATGCTATAGAGAAAAAGTGTGGGAGAGATCTTTAGTAAAGGTGGTGATGACTTTCAGCCAAATAGTCTCTCGTGTCATGTGACAGAGGTAACTGACGTCCTACCAGCCTGTCAACATCCCTGTCCCAGCGAGAGAAACCTACCTTGACTCCCCTCTCTCCTGAAGCCATCCCCTTCCTGCCATTCAACTGCTTCCTGTCCTTGAGAACTGAACTCAAATGGCTTTCTCTACCAGGAAACCTTCTTTGTTAACCACACTGTCTGTCCGCCTAAAGGACATGGATATCTTCAATGTCTCTTAATTTGTCTCTCTCACTCACTTCCTGTGTTGTACCTGAAGTCTAGAAGGCACATGCCATACTCACTTACCCAAGCTCCCCACTAGATCCTCCATGCCCCCAGGATGCCCGGCAGATTCACTTTTGCATCCCCACGGGCCTTTGGGTCATGGCTGGCTCAGTGAAGATTCGCTGGCTCCATGAATGTCCTGGTTTGTGAGCTCTCGGGTTCTGACATCCCACTGAGCTAGAGCAGCATCCTATCCTGTGTCTTCCCATCTATAGCCACAGTAGACAGTTCCTGCAGCTTCACAGGGATGGGGGCAGGGGCATGGTGTCAGGGGGCTGGCTCACTTGCCCTGTGTGGGCCTTAAAATTCAGGTATAATGCGAGGAGGTCAGCCTGACAGGCACAGTCACTTCCCCAGAGAGATCAGAGGCAGTCAAGGCCCCACTTGCCTGACTGATTGACCAGCCATGCCTTTCTGTCCTGCGCCAAGGCTGTGACTGGTCAGCCTGCAAGGCAAGGAATGGCCACCTGGGAGGGAGGGCCCGAGCAGTCACTCTGGTTGATTTATGAGGTGACTGTGCTGTCTGCCTGGAAGTACAGTGCCCAGTCACACAGAAGGAGTGCTCAGCTCCATTTCAGAGGGGAGGGGAGGAGGTTATGGGCAGGAAGAGCTGGACCAGAGGGTATATCTGAAGTGGGCCAGGGTGGTAGGCAACCTTTCCCTTCTTCACTATTTCAACCCAGGTCTGCTCCACCATGGCACCCCGGCCAGGGCTCTGTGCCCAGAACAACCCTCTGCCCAGAAGGCAGGAGGAGAACCAGAAGGAAAGATTGGGTGGCCACAGTCCAAGTGAGAGCGAGAGTGTGAAAACCGCAGCCCATTCACAGACGTCTTCCACATGCAGAGGCTGAAGAAACATGCTCAGCCACACCCGGCCCTGCAGGCCCCTAGACATGCTGCCTGCTGCTCCTGTGAGTGGCTCAGAGCTCCCTGCAGGGGAGCAGCTGTCCTGCTCCAGCTGGCAAGGGTGGTGAAGAGCAGCTTTTTCATATGAAGGCAACAGAGCAATACAAAGCCACCTGCAGGCAACAGGACCTGCTGCAACAAGTCCCTTAACCTCTCTAAACCTCAATTTGGAGTTTCAACTGCAAAATGGGTATATATATTGTCAGTCCTAGAGGATTACTGTGATGGCTGAGCTAAAACATGTAAAGCACTCACCAGACGGCCTGGCCCACAGGGCGCCCTCCATCAGTGGCAACTCTGTTAGGATGGCTGCCCTGCTCCTGGCCCACTCTTGGGAGCCTCTCCCTCCAGTCCTCACCTTCTGCTTAGTGCTGAGGGGCTGTGACTTCAATTTTTCATCCTTGCTCTTGGAAATCCTCAGGAATTGCTTGAGGTCTCCCTGAGGGAAAAGCCAAGCATCTCTGTCAAGCCAGAGCCCAGCCACTATGAAACCAAGCAGCTGCCCACAGGGGTGTCGGCCTGGGCAGGTGGTGAGAAATCCTGACCTGGACCCCCACCCAGCCCAGACCCCTCCCTTGAGGAAAGTCTAGTGGGAATCAAAAAGTATGCAAGGGATGCTTCTCAGACACTCTGTGCCAGAGAGAGAGAGAACTGCCAGGCTTCTGTCTTGGGAGACCCTAAGACAGGTGGGTGACAAAATCTGGCCATCAGGGAGCCAAGAGGAAAACACAGCCTCCAACCTTCACAGACCCGAGACAACTCCAGTTGTCTGGGTGTTAATTATCTAACAGACATGAACAAACCAGGGTTGGTGGGGCCAGGGGAGGCACCAGCAGCAGAAACTTACATAAACCGCCATCAGTACGTGTTAATGGAAAGATTAAGGATTATTCCTCCCCCTTCCTACCCTCACCCCAAGCCAAGATTGGGGGATTTGATAAGCAGCAGTTTGAGGACCAAGGGGCTTAGGCCCAGATCAGTTGGGGAATGAAAAGAGAGGGGCAGATCTGGCATGACAGCTGAGTGGGTGACTGGGCCAACACTGGTCCCCCAAATGGTATCGGATGCCAGGAAGGAAGGAAAGCCAGGTTCAGGTAAATTTATACTCACGGGGTGATGAGCCCTGGGGAGAAGGGAAAATGACAAACCAAGGAAAACCAGAGTCAGGGAAGAAGAGCAGGATGGCATCCAAGCAGTGTGCATAGTGAGATGCTGGGAAGAACTTGGGACCAACCCCCAGACACGGGGCTGGCAGATGGGAAAGACGGCGCACTGGTCAAGAAAAGGCAGGTGTTGGAGAGCTGGGGGAGGAGGAGGCTGCGTGTCTCAAGGGGGTACCTGCAGGTGGGCAGAGCTCTGGTTCCCACGGCGCACCACCCCCACCCTGGCACTGCCCTGCCCTGCCCCAGACTCCCAGGTCCCCTGCCAACAGCATACCAGGTCCACATACTCCAGCACCATGTAGTGGGGCTCGGCCTCCCGACACAGCCCCAGGAGCCGCACCACGTTGGTGTGGTTTAGCTTCCCGAACATCTCAGACTCCCTCCGGAAGTCCAACTGTTGCTGCTCATCCCGGCTCTGCAGGCTCTTCACAAGCACCAGGGTCTCTGCGACTCCCTCCTCCAAGCCCTGTGCCTTCGCCAGGAACACCTCCCCAAACTCACTTTTCCCTGTGGGCACAGGTCTGAGTCAGCCAGCTGCCTTCACCCAGGCAGAGGAAGGCCCCAACCTGGGGAGGAGCTCGGCCTCTGTCACACGGGGGAGTCTCTCCTGCACTCCACCTCCCCGCACTGAGCACTGACCCCAGCTCTGCTGCGTGACCCTCAGCAGACCCTTCCCCCTCCTTCCCTGGGCTTCAGGTTTTCAACAGTAAAGTAAAAGGGTGCAATTCCTATTCAGCATTTTCCAAAGGGTGATTTGCATGAGAATTTTACATGGCCCATGATAAACATGTCTTAATAGTTACATGTTTTAATGCATGCTCAGAAAAAAATTTAACTAGCACAAATCCGTCATTTCTCACATTTTTTTCTAGAACAAAGTTAACTTCAAATTTTTAAAAAAAGGAGTCAAAAGATGACATCAAATAAATTACATGCAGGAATGACAAAAGCTGTGGAGGTAGGGTGTGAATGGCAGGTACTGGGGACCCTCTGGATTAATCTCCCCTATTTGCCCTACTCCATCTCTCATGTTCTAGGTTTTGGGACTTCAGAGCCACCAGCCCTATCCTAGCCTCCTCCAGATAGTACAGGTGGCCTGTAGTTAAGCAGGGGTAGCTGTGGCCAAGGCAACATACCCAGTGTGGTGATGGGCTGCAGGCTGGCCCGAGGGAAGTGCATTTTGTCACTCGTGCTGTGGCGTTTATTGGTAGCTGCAGGGCCGGAGCCCAAGCTGGTCAAAGCCACTTCCTCTTGGATCTCTGCTGAGGGCTGTCCATTCTGCACAGGCCCACCTGGGAAGAAGGGCCATGGGACAGGGGTCCATCAAGATGAGATCAGATACTCCACAGGGACCTCCGTTCTCTCCCCAACCCCCACTTCCACAGTGGGTCCAAACATGCTGTTTCACACAGAGGCACCAGTCCGCCTAATGAACTGACGGGGCTTGGGGGGCAGGGGGCATGGGCACCCCTGAGCATGCAGCCACTTTCTGGCCATTGATCATGACCTCTGAAATGGAACAAACTGCACAAGTCACTGTCCCTGGACAACACATCAACATAAGAATTTTGCTTTTATACAGCCTCCTGTGTGCAAAGCCCTCAACAGGTACAAGGCAAGACACCTGCTCCCAAATGCCTAAGCTGATAGGGGAGACCCAGCAACGCCCCCAAGGAGCTCACAGTCAAGGGAGGAGGGTAGGAGGAGAGAGATAGACAGATAGATTGCCCTTGGAAGACTCAAAAGACTAATGGGGGGAGACAAGATGTTCAACAGAAACTTGAACCCATACACTAATACCTCTGGTGCTGCATGGAGGAAAGGCAGGGAAACAGAGGAATTTGGCCCAAGAGGCTCCAGTGAGGAAGTTTTGAGCCAGACTGCTCAGAAAAAAGGCCCTGGGAATTGGCTGTTGCAGGCGTCCAGCTGGGGTGGGGCAGCTCTGCTCTGGCCCGTCCAGCAAGGGCGCAGGGCCAGCCAGCCGTTTCCACTAGGTCTGCAGCTGTCTCCTTGTGGCCGCAGGAGGGCGCTCAGCACCTGCACAAAGGCGGGGCCACCCACCTCGAGGGCCCTCACCATTGAGGCACTCCAGCTCAGGCTCTTCGCCTTCTGGCTGCTTCTGAAGCCGCTTGGCCTTGCAGCGCTTCTTGCAGTAGAACATGAGGCCCAGCACAGCAATGATGTAGGCCACGGCGGCGCCCACCGACAGCCCGATGGTCTGGATCATCTTGTAGGGGGGAGGGCTGCCGGGGCCCTCTGAGTCCTCCAGCACGGGCTTATCTGGGAGACACAGATAGGTTTGGGCAGGGGCTGCCGAAGCAAAGCCAGCCCTACTTCCCCACTAGCCCATTCCCTCCCCACACGACACCCCACACATGCTTGATGGCATGACCAGGCCAGAGACCTGGGGAGGGGCACCACTGTCACTGGCTTTAACAAGGGCCAGGGCCTCACACCTGACCAAGATCATAGGGAGCTCTGAAGGACATGGGGCCAGGGATTCCCGAACCGGCTGTGCATCCAAACACAGAGCCAGGGACACACATAAGAAACACAGCTGTTGTGGCACCACCACAAACCCACACTATTTTATTATATTTGTTAACAAGCATCCTAAGGGACTTCATATTGTGAGCCAGGCCCTGAACAGCAGCCTCTGAGACTTCTGGTTTAGAATCCCAGACACTTCGTGACACAGAAGCAGGTTCTTCAAGAAATGTGTTTGCAGGAGGAGTCTTCTGACCTAGGGTGGCTAGGGTCCCACAGAGAAAAAGTGCCAGGAGCCATTAGGGGAACTGAGGGAGGGAGGCCCAATGGGGAGACCATGCAGGATCCCCCAGCTCCCACATATACCCCCTTGGCCTTCTCACTTCACTGCTATCCATCTAAAGTTCTACATAAAACTTTGTCAGGAAAAAAGTTCTGCCAGTAAACCAAAAATGTTTGAGAACTTCTCACATAAGCATTCCCACCTTACAGATACAGAAACAAGCCCCTGGAGAGGAAATAACACCTCGAAGGGCCCGGAGCTGGTTAGCAGGGAAGGTCAGATCCAAACCCCAAGTCCCTGTCCCTAGTCAAGGCCCTTTACCTGACATAGCATCCCTTCAGGGCCTCAGAGGGCCTCCAGGACAAAGAACTCTGGGCCTGAGCCCCTCCCCGCCCACCCAGGGGTATGTGTGTCTGCTGCCGGGAGGAAACACCTTAGGTTGAGAGCAGCCACACACATACAACACATACACACCCACCAGATGCAGAATGTTAAATAAATGACAGCCCAGCTCTAG